CGTCCCCGAGATTTAAAGCCTGGGGCTAATAATGGAAAAGGAAATGTGTCAAGGAAACACATCACAACTGTTTTCATAAGACAAGTGGGGGTACACTTTTACAAAACTTGAAAGAGACAAGTTACAACTTATAGAGGGAAATTGCAACTTAAAGCGAGGCAAAGAAATCCGGGAAATTATCTTCCAGATATTCTTCTGACTCCCAAGTAGCTTCTTCTTCGGATAGTTGACTCCATTGGATTTTATACCACCTAGTGGTCTTGTTTCTAGTGACCCGATCTTTCTGATCTAGGACTCAAACTGGATATTCTGAAATTGTTGCATCTGGCTCGAGTTGGAGTCCTTCCAATGTCAGCCACCTGATCCGTGACTCGAAGACACTTCTTTAACTGAGATACATGGAAGACATTTTGCACTACCGAAAGTTGATCGGGCAATTGAAGTTGATATGCCACAGTTCCACACCGTTTGATAATCTTGAAAGGACCAATGTAGCGAGGTGCTAGTTTCCTTTTTACACCAAATCTGGTAACTCCCTTCATTGGGGACACTTTCAGGTACACATAATCTCGGACTTTGAATACTAATGGTCTTCGCCTTTTATCAGCATAACTTTTCTTGCGAGATTGAGCGATCCTCATGTTCTCTTGTATGGTTCTAACTTTATCTTCTGTTTCCTTCGTTGGGTCAACTCCAAAGAACCATCTTTCTCCGGGTTCGGACCAATCCAATGGAGTCCTACACCTACGACCATACAAGGCTTCAAAAGGTGCCATCTTAATGCTTTCTTGATAACTGTTGTTATAAGCAAACTCTGCTAAGGGTAGGCATTCATCCCATTTCGCAGTGAAATTGAGAGCACAGGCTCTAAGCATGTCCTCCAAGATTTGGTTGACCCTTTCAGTTTGACCTCCCGTCTGTGGATGATAGGCTGAACTATAAATGTGCTTGGTACCTAGTGACTTTTGCAACTCTTCCCAGAACTTGGAGACGAACTGTGTGCCTCTGTCGGAGATAATAGTCTTTGGGACACCATGAAGACTCATGATACGACTAATATATATCTGAGCATAGGTTATAGCTGTATACACATTCTTGACGGGCAGGAAATGGGCGACCTTAGTAAGCCGGTAAACAATGACCCATATTGAATCATACTCTTTGGATGTTCTGGGTAGTCCAACTATGAAATCCATACTGATGTCGTCCCACTTCCAAGATGGAACAGGAAATGGACGTAATTCTCCGGCTGACTTCATATGAACTGCCTTCACCCGTTGACAAGTATCACACCTGGCTACATATCGGGAAATTTCAATCTTCATCTTTGTCCACCAGAATCTATGCTTCAGGTCGTGGTACATCTTGGTACTTCCTGGATGAATGGAGAATCTTGATAAATGTGCTTCATCAAGAATCTGCTTCCGTAGCTCAGGCATCTTTGGAACTACTAGACGGTTCTTGAACCAAAGAACATCATCTTCTATGGTAAAATATGAAATTTTGCCTGACTTGACTTTGTGCTTGAGATGAGCAATACCCTTGTATTTTCTTTGAGCTTCTATAATTTGGTCTTTGATGGTTGATTCCAGAGTAATATTAGCTAAATTACCTTGTTGCACAAGTTCTATGTTCAACTTTTCTAATTCCTGACATAAGGATGCATTCTCTAGGCTTCACTGTCAAACAGTTGCATTGAGGCTTCCTACTGAGAGCATCTGTCACTACATTGGCTTTGCCTGGATGGTAGTGAACTTTAAGATCATAATCTTTGATCAACTCTAACCATCTTCTTTGTCGCATATTCAGGTCGGCTTGGGTGAATATGTACTTTAAACTCTTGTGATCAGTGTTGATATGGACAAGGTTACCTAACAGATAATGGCGCCAAATCTTCAAGGCATGGACAACGGCGGCTAACTCCAAATCATGAGTGGGATAATGTTCTTCATGTTTCTTAAGTTTTCGAGAAGCATAAGCAATCACTCAACCTTCTTGCATCTGTACACACCCAATACCTATGCCAGAAGCATCACAATAGACATCAAAAGACTTTTCAATGTCTGGTTGTGCCAACACTGGTGCTGTGGTGAGTAACTTCTTCAAAATCTTGAAAGATTCTGCACACTCAGGTGACCAAACAAACTTGACCTGGTTCTTCAACAACTCAGTAATTGGCTTGGCTATTTTGGAGAGGTCGGGGATGAAACGACGATAATAACCTGCCATTCCTAGAAAACTCCGGACTTGATGAACTGAGATTGGTGACTTCCAATTGAGAATATCTCTGACTTTACTAGGATCAACAACAACTCCATCGGCTGACAAGACATGACCGAGGAATTGAATCTCCTTAAGCCAGAACTCACACTTGCTAAACTTGGCATAAAGCTGATGCTCTGTCAAGCGAGTCAACACTACCCTGAGGTGCTCAACATGTTCTTCTTCATTCTTGGAGTAAACTAGAATATCATCAATAAACAACACTACAAACTTGTCCAGCTCGGGCATAAATACCGAATTCATCAAGTACATGAAGTGTGCTGGTGCATTAGTCAACACGAAGGACATAACCAAATACTCATATAGCCCATACCTGGTTGTGTAAGCTGTCTTTGGTATGTCTTCCGGCTTGATTTTAATCTGATATTATCCCGATCTCAGATCAATCTTGGAAAGTACCTTAGCCCCGAAAAGTTGATCAAAAAGCATATCAATACGAAGCAAAGGATATTTATTCTTGATAGTGACCTCATTGAGTGGACGATAGTCTACACATAACCTCAAAGTTTGATCCTTCTTCTTGACAAAGATAGCAGGACATCCCTATGGTGATGAACTAGGACGAATAAACCCTTGATCTAAGAGGTTTTGCAACTGAGTCTTCAACTCTGCTAAATGCATTGGTGGCATTCTATATGCTCTCCTAGATATTGGGGCAGTACCTGGTTTCAACTCTATGCTAAACTGGACATCTCTATCTGGTGGCAGTCCAGGTAAGTCATCAGGGAAAACATCAAGGAACTCATATCAGGGAACTCACATACTACAAGTATGTCTTGAATTTCCTTCACTGAAGTGGCACACACTCTCTCAACTGCCCTCTTGGGAATTGGAAGTTGAATAAAAAGTTGAGAATTACTACCAGGTAAATTCATCTTGATAGTTCTATTCAAGGTATCTAGAATAGCCCCATGCTGATGCATCCAGTTCATACCCAGGATTACGTCAATATATGGGTCCTTCAGGATGATCATATATGTGAGAAAATCATGCCCACCCAACTTACTGGTACTTTATAAGCCATTTCAGTAGTTCTCAGACAGCCCCCAGGCAACTGAATAAAGAATTCTTTCTTAGTTTCCCTAATGGGTAGCTCATGCTTCACAACAAATGCCTTACTGATGAATGTATGAGATGCACCAGAAGTAAATAGCGTACGTGCAGGGTGATTAGCAACAGGGAACATACCCATCATGACTGGTTCCCCTTCTGGTATAGCTTCAGTTTGAGTATAATAAACTCTCCTAGTCTTCTTGTCATTTTTGCCCTTCTGAGCATTCTGATTATTATTGTTGTGGTTCTGCACTTGCTGTTGCGGCTATCGGTTCTGTTGTTGTTGTTGTTGTGGGTTCCAGGGAGCCTTTTGCTGCTTTGGATAGGGGCAATTATTGGAGTAATGCCCAACCTGTCCACAGTTGAAACAAGCATTGGAATTTCTTGTGTTTCCCTGTGGAGCCTGATAGCGAACAACTTGAGTGCTCTGCGGGCGAGGAGCTTGCTGAGTTGGACGAAGGTAGACTTGTGATCTATTCTGGAATTGAGGTGGGTAGAAATAAAAACGGGCGTGATTCTGAGGATGATATATAATCTTCTGGCGTTTCATGTTGCCAGATGGTCCAGACACCACCTTCTTCTTCTTGGCTTCCTTGTACTCACGGTACTTGGCCTCACTTGCAACCACCATATCCACTACCTCATGATAGGTATGGTTGGCAGTGATCATGGTTGTCAAGGTCTTGATCTTTGGGTCCAGCCCCCGCATGAAGCAAACCTTCTTTCTAGCATCTGTGTTGACTTGATCTGAGGCATACTGAGCCAAATGGTTGAACTTGGACACATATTGCATGATTGTGTTGTCTCCTTGTCTTAGTGCCATAAACTCTTCCAACTTCTCAGCCATCACACCTGCTGGAATAAAATGGTCACGGAAGGACTTGCAGAACTCCTCCCATGTCACACGATGTCCCGCAGGTTGCACGGCCAGGAAGTTTGTCAACTAAGACTCGGCTGCACCCCTAAGCTGCTGAGCTGCAAACAGGGATTTCTGATGATCAGTACAGTTGATGAGCTCAAACCTCTGGTCCATAGCGCGAAGCCAGTCATTGGCCTCCAGAGGTTCGTCGGCTCATAGTTTATTTTTTGAAAAACTATCAACTTATAAAAAGATTATTACCTGATCCAGATGGGCCATAATGACTCCTTCGTGGAACGAAGGGATTCCCTAGTTGGGAAGCCTTGCTGCTGGCTGGTTTCCGAAACCAAGGCTCGATATAATTGACCTCACCTCAGTTACTTCGACTCCTTTCTATTATTATTTTGAATTTCAGCTGCGTATGTGTCTAGCGGGCTGGGCCAAATACCTTGCCACATGCTGTGCAGGAAGTTGAGAACATTTAATTTGTTACCGGTACTTACTACTTACCATGCATATACCAGCTAGTTTCACAAATTGTTGACAAGAACACACAAGTATTGGCATGTGTACGTTGCTAGTTAGGAGAATCATGCATTGCTCACTCTTTTGGCCGGCGTGTTCACGATGAGTATTTTTAATTTTAATTTTCACTGAAAAATGTTTTGTTAGATGTGAATTTATAAACAATATGTTTGCCAAAACGAAAGGCCCATTTGGAGATATAAATACTTTTCCACCATGCTACTACATACGTAGCTTCTTCACACCAACACCACCACGAGACTGACTTGTTCTGCCTGATATGTCATCGTCTCTCTCGGCATCGGCATCGGCAGCTTCTTCCATCCTCCTCCATACCTTGTTGGTCCTCACGACCCTACTTCTCCTTGCCGCCGCCACGGTCTCAGTCTCCACCACGGCATTTGTCCCGGTGGACGACGACATGAACACGACCATGTTTACCAACAACGGGTCGTCGATGACGACAACGATGACGACTCTGAGTGCTGAGAACTGGGAGATGTACTACTGCTTTCTGTGCACGGAGCAGCACCCACTGCTGATTCACTACTGCCCCATCTATTGGGACGAGTGCCACCTCAACTGCTGGGATGTCGTCCCCCACGAGGCGCCGCCGTCATCGACGTCCACAGTGCAGGGCAAGGAGTCTACGTCATGAAGTTGTACAAGTCCGTCCGCTACGTCATTGTCGAGCGCCTCAGCTGCGATGGCATCGCCTCGTGCTTCTTCACCTGCGGCGGTGGGGAGCTAGACAATCAGAAAGGCGCCATGGCCACCACGGTGCCGGCGACGACGATCCAGGGGAGCTTTGTGCCTTTCGAGTTGTGCAATACAGAGCTGGTCTTTTCTCCGCCATTCATAGCTGCTGGTGCACGCCATTGATAGCTGTTAGTTAGCTACCTCCGCTAGCTGTTTTGGATTCGGTTTTTCTTTCATGAATGTCGTTGTGTGCCCCTTGAGTTCATTAGAGTACGTGATTGCTACATAAGTACACCTTCCCATCTGAATCTGATGATTGCAAATCTTGACATCCAAACCAAAGAATTGGCTAGCTAATTCAAGGAGATGACAATTTATTTAGTTGCATTAATTTTCCTTCCTAATAGCTAGCTACTTCGTCTTCAAATGCTCCTTAGAGCTTCATGAAACGACAACTAAGTGCTATCCTAAAATCATCTATACAATAAGATAACGTTTCTATAACGCTTCTCGATCCCCTCCACCTTTCTTTCGGTTTTGTTGTTCTTTTCTTTCTTCTCTCTTAGTCCTTTGTATTGTAAGCCGAGGCTTATATGTTCTGTTTGTAATTGCTACCTTTTTAATAAAAAAGGGGTCCAGTTGGACGCGGTCACGAAAAAAAAAGATACTGTTTCAAGACTAAATATGCTTCGCTGATGATATTTCGAAACTATGGGACACATGCATGGAATGATATACTATTAGTGCAAATTCACGAAACTTTGAATGCGCAAGCACTGACATGCGTACGTTGTTAGTTAGGCGAATCATGCATTGTTTACATGTTCGTCTTTAGATCGATCAATGCGACGTGTGTTTTATGAGTGTCTACTTTTTCACTATCTCAAAATTTGAACACACATGCTAGTACTGGCATGCGTATGTTGCCAGTTAGGAGAATCATATGTACTATCGTTTACATGCATGCACTTTAGCAGGTCTTGATGAGTATTAAATCTTTACTGAATTTCACAAAATTTTGAACACACAAGTATTGGCATGTGTACGTTATTGCTCTTGTCTCTTTTAGTTGTCAAAATACATAAACATCTTTAGTTATGCACAATTTAATTATGATGTTATATAGGCCCCACAGTGCTATTTTCATTCTCAGGCATAGTTGTAGATGAACTGAGATGTGGTTATAGGTTTCTTACTTCAGCAAGTTTGGTTAGAGCTTTAAAAGAACATGATGACCTGAAGGTTGGTGCCGTTAATCATCATTTACTAATATTGCCTTTTGATGTAAGATATTCCTGATCATTCTGTTCTGTTTCCTTTCTTTATCTTTGTAGATTGAAGTGCGTCATGAACAAAATGTTGCCGTTGGATTTCTGGAGGAATATGATTTAGATCATGAAATTGCTGTTGTCAAAATCACATCATTCCATTCCGTTAATCTTAAGGTTGTGTTTCTCTATAATGTGTCCCTCTATCTACCCTATAACGATGTAGTATTTCTAGGGCGCGACATCTCTGGTAAGTTGTTGGCCACAACTGGGAAGCTGACTCCTATTTCAAACGGATCAGAACGTCAATATCTTATGTTCTCTTCGTGTAAATTATCTGAGGTACACTTGCATTGTAATTTGAGAACTTCTGTTTCTATTATTATATACATCTTGGCTTACTTCTATTTGTTGCAATTGACTGCACTGCACACAGTTTGACTGCTAATAACTTTTTAATTGTGCAGTTTAGAATGAAGAGATTTGTTTGTTAGATTCTTATTGGGACATACTTTTTGAGAATTAAATTTTCAAAGTTGATTTACAAATTATTAATCAGTTAGTTATGTTTACAATTTTCATGAGACAATCATCATGACAAGGGAAAGTTCCATGCAGCCTTATTTTGTTCTGGTTAACACTAAACCCATGACATTTTGTTTCAGTTAATGGAAGGGGGACCACTTTTTGATAGTGGTGGGAAATTCGTTGTCTTGAACCTTTTTCTTGCCTGTGCGTTTGATTTACGAACGGTTGAAACATTTTGAGACAACTGAGGAAAGGTCTGTATTTCTGGCACGGGTAAATGGATTGAAACCGGAGAGGTATGTATTACAATGTTTCCAATTTGCTTCCTTTTTTTTTAACGTTTGTCCTTGCTGGTTTGCCCACTGTCATCTGTCCCAGTTCCCTATCCGTACTTGAGCTTATTAGGTAATCTGTTAAGTATGCAAGTCTTGATTGTTAATTGCTGTTTTGTGAACTTTGTCGTTTGCAGTAGTGTTTAATATTTTCCCATAGTAACACCTTGATTCCTTGGTGCCTCTACCAAAGATTGTTGCACTGGTGCAAACTGTTCTATTGGCATTTTTCACAGGTAGCTACTATTGATTTAGCTATAAATTTTGTTTCAATATTGAAGGCAGTACATTTGTCTAGATTAATGCATGGAGATTTTTCTTTCAGTCTAAAATATGCACACTCAATTATTGGCTGTTCTATTGAAATATTTGACATCCAATTTGTCTATACTACTTAAGGTTCCTGTCTTGTTTCTTTCCTACAATTCCACTCAGCTTTGTGTTGCATGTTAATATTCTGGTTTGGTACATTTTACTTTTGGGTTAATTAGTAAATCCACGTTGATATTCTTCCACAGGGTTGGAGGAACATCCACAGATATACCAGGCTCCCATCCTGAAGGTGACTAAAAAGCAGCCACTCAGATCGTTAAGGCCATGTATGGATAAATAAATCTAATTCCTTCCAATCCAATCTGGATTGGGGTGGAAAATGAATTAACTTGTCAATCCCTCACAATATGTTGGCATAGAGTGGGTTAGACTATCCAAACAAGGCCTAAATGTTGTTTTAGCATGCATTTCATTATACATTTCTACTGTTATAGTAGTACCTAATATTTACTTTAGTCGTTTAAGGTGTTACCTTGGAGTTTGTGCTTATCAGTTAATATTTTTACACTGGCATTATTATGTCTGTTTGTGGTGATGTAGCTTAAATCAAGCATAATACTAGTCTAATCTTGAAAGTTGCATAGTGCACACATGCAAATAGCATGATACTTCTTCAAATTGAGATACATTTCTAGATAAATCCATCCACAAAGGATTTGGATTTGAGGGTGAATAGAGGCATAGAGCACCGACACCATCACTATTCCACTATCCTGGTTTTAACACGAGAGATGTTCTTCTGTATGTTCAAGCAGACAGTTGTAAGGGGTTATTAATCGTACTCTTATGTACTGATTATTATTTTCAGATCTTTATCTTCATCTCACCTAACTTGATATTAGCACATCTAAATCCTATTCACTTTACTCCTTTTTGCACCAATACATGCAGTTGCTCCCAACACAGATAATTATCGCTACCTTCAAGTTTTGGGTTATCCCAGGCCAACTAAAAGTGAGTCGATGCTTGTACATCACTTGAATAGTACTAAACTGCGCCTTTTGTAGCTCTGCTGTGCAACTAACAGCCATGATATCTTTGACCAGGTGGCATGACTTTGGTTAATACTTTTGAAGAGCCTTTTGGTGATATATATCCTCATGGTGTCTGGAAGCAACTCAGTATAGGAGTTAATGAAAAGATAAATGATAGTGTTGTCACCCTCGCTTCATTTAAGGGTGATATTGCATTATTCTGCCTTTTCATAATTCATGCTTGTACTTGGTCATCATGTGCTAATGTTCAAAATTATGTTGTTCAGGAGATGAAAGATTCTTTGCATGCTCTGGAACTTTCATTGACTGGGATGGTAGATTTCAAGATAATGGATGTCAGATTATTCTGACTTCAGCATGCTTGGTTAGGAATCCTGATTATCCTGACGATGAGGGAAACAAGATTGTTGATGGCTTGAGGGTTGGTGCTCTTAGTTACATTTTTTAATCCTTGTTTCTTCCAAGGCACTGCTTAAATCTCATGATATCATTATTTGCAGATTAAAGTGTCGTTACCAGGCACGAAACACACGAAACCGAAACAGAGAAAAGGGACCTTAATACATTATAGTCTGCATTATAATGTGGCTCTAGTCAGTGTCAAGACATCCAATGCTGTATATCTTCCAGTTGTTAGACATGCTCGAGGAAATCTGTGTTCTAACAAGTTAGTAGTTGCTGTGGGGCGTGGCTTCAAATCAGGTGATTTAATGGCTTCAAGTGGGAAACTGGCTCCCCACTGGTCTGGTCCTTTTGATTTCAAAAGGCTTCTATACTCTACATGTAGAATAAAAAAGGTATTGCTGTTGATATATCTATGCCCACAGAAGTGAATAATTTAGTCACAAGTTAACTTCGATTTGGCATTTTACAAATGATGATTTCTCAATATAACCTGGTTAGGCTGGGATTGGAGGGCCCCTTGTTGATGCTGAAGGGAACTATATTGGCATGAACTTCTATGACCAAAACGTGGGCAACCCGGTCCTGTTTTGTGATGATATTGTTGATATCCTGGATCGTTTTAAGAAAGGGTATGTCTAGATTTCCCTTATCTATTTAATTGCCTTTCATCAATGTTCAGCTAGGCTGTTTAAAAGGCAACCAAACAGTAAACAGAGGTGAAGTGTGCCTTTTAGGCTGTAAAAGGTCTATTAAAAGGTTTTACACATAATGTAGTTTTTTTTTATTTATTTTTTATTTTTTTTTTATTTTTTTTGGATAGTGACCGACTTTATTATTTATCTGCAAATCGCAGAAAAGAAAGTTACAGATTCTTCAGTTACATTCTTTACAGCTTGCTCAAGAGGGCAGCTGTTGCAGTGAATAGCATTGGTACACAGATGCTAAAGAACTAAAAGACTGACTGGAAAGGCGAAGAGCCTATCTAGCTATGCAATGAGTAATCGTTTTTTCTAAACTTCTGATTCTTGCTTATTATAATCAAAGCCGACAATGTCGGATCTTTCAAAAAAAAAATGAGTAACCTTGTTTAAGTTCCTATCTAGTTTGAAAATGTTGATTCGAATTTGATCTGTTGATTCGAATTTGATCCAAAAGGTTGACATATTTTTGAGTGAGCGGTTTGATTTCCCATCTTGGCTGATTGGAGAAGCAGTGGCCATTGAGGAAGGACACCATTTGCTGGGAATCAGAGAGAATGCTGCCTTGGGAGATCTGAAGGTTGCAAAGGATCTGAGCAGCTGTGACAATAGCAGCAGCTTCTGCCATCAAGACAGAATTGCAATTTGTCATGGCTGCTTTAATGTATGATTGACACAAGACATGTCTTCTTGGAAAACTATGTGAATTCCAAGACCTTCCTTTCTTGCTTGCTAGTGGTGATCGTCTGGAAGTAGCGCCGCATCAACATAGCATTAGGATCCTAAAAAGAGGACCTGCTGGATAATGAGATTATCATGTCCTTGTCGACTTGCATGTTGAGTGAGGGCCTGCATTTCATTACCCTCCCGTAGAACCTGCTCATTATTTGCAATATTCACAGTTTCTCCACCTGGTCGTTGCTGATTCCCTGCATTGTCCAGATTGTAATCCTGTTGATTGCCTGCATGAGAAATTTGATTATGCCCCGCCAAATCGACAGGGTTTTCATTGCGATTCATTTCTATTAGACATTTTCATTTCATCAGCTACAGCATTATGGACCTGAAACACCGACCATTTCTTGTTATTAAACCTGTAGTCATTTCTAGCTTTCCACAAAAACCAAAGCGTGTGTGATTCTTTGCAGCTGCTCATTTGTAGTGTTCATAGTGATGATCATGGGCAGCGTTTACTGCACACCATCATTTTCCTGGGGAAGCATAGAGGTTAGAAGAGAGGGCTGCCCCAAGAACCAGATAGCTCTCGGGTAGTTACAGTGAAAGAACGGATGACTATCACTTTCCACCAGTCCACAAAGGCTGCAATTTTCAGAAATGTGGACAGAAAATCTTGCAGCCCTTTTACCAGTTTTAATGGCCCTTCTAAGTAACCTCCATATGAATACTTTGATGTATGGTGGCCCGTGGCAGAACTTTATTCCTCCATACTTTGAATAATTGCAAGGGCTTGTTCTGTGATTGACCTTGCCCCTTGAGTTGGAAGGGGTACCTGCATATCTCTCACTAGAGATCTATAAGCTTGCTTAGCTGTGCATAATCCATTTGCTGCATCTTTCCATATGAGCATGTCTTTCTCCTGTGAGGGAACTGTTTGTATTGAAGTTATGTCCTGCATAGTGTGCATGTCAAAGATCTGAGAAATAAGATTAGCATCCCAACTTTGGGTTCCCTGCAACCACCGATCAGAAATCTTGCTGGGAAGAGGCTGTATGGCATTAGTAATAATCAAATGGCATTAGACGGGCTAAATGGCCTACATGCACAAATATGTATACTTAATTCTTTTACATGGATAAATATGTTTACTTGACTTGTTACATGTATAAATGTGTACTTTTTTTTTGTGCATAAATATGTATACTTGTTGTTTATAAGCATAGTTATGTATATTTAAGTGATGGGATCTTCTACAGTCAGGTCATGGTTGTACCTATCTAACATCAGGTAACCCCCCATTTCACCGTTGGATTGACTAAGATATGACAATGAACGATGGATTGAAGGGTACAAGGGAAAAAAGAATTTTGGTAGTCTTGTACTCTCTCTCGTACCCATCGTACTTGTAAAATACTATTATACCCTTCGTACCCCTTGTACCTATTTTATTTATTCTCAAGCCCCCATATACTTTTGTAAATTACATAACAATCCTACAAATTTAAAACAATTTCATCACAACCTAAAATTATATTTTACGATTCCAATCCGTCGTCTTCATTTGGGAAAAGAAAATGGACAAAACCAATCTTCCACTTCATCTTCTTCCTCATTGTTCTTCTACATACCAAACCGACCAACTCCTTCATCCTCTCCTCATGAGTCAATATCAGAACAATATTATTACCCAAACATATATTTGAACGATTTACGATCAATATGTAACTAGTCGATAGAATTTTGTATGTAGAGATTGCAATCGCACGCTCGATTCATTGAGGTAACTTTATTTGGAGAGTGAAATATGTTTGGATATTCTTGGCATGCTTATAATACAAAACCCTTGTAGTGGTGTTATTAACGTAGGTTGTTTTGTTGAAATCTTTTGCTTGGGCTTTGTATCCTTTTTATTGTATTTGATTGTTACGAATAATGATTTGATGTGAGGATGTGGATTTGTTAACTAGCGATTGATTAGTGATATGTTGGTTTTGTTGTATTCTTAAAAGCACATTATGTGTTTGATGTAATGCCTCAATCGGGAAATGTTGCCATCAGTTTGTGGGGACTAGGGTACAACTGAAAAAGAGACGAATTGAATTTGATATAGTATGTGAGGTCTTTTGGGAGTGTGAGGAAAATATTGATCATATCTTACTTCAGTTTAGGGCTGTTAAGTGCTGGAAACAGAATTATTTAAAAGGGCAATGGATGAGTGGATTATGTGTACTTATGTGAGAAATGTTGAAGTACCAAGGCTATATGTTAGGCGGCAGGGGATGAGTGAGAGGTCAGGTGAGAAGAGTGATGATGAAAGGGGTTCATGCAAACACAGTAGTTTAGGTTTGAGGATTTGGAGTTTCAGGTATGGGACTTCATTGGAAGTTCAGTGGAGGCCTATACTGTGTCTGCTCTTTGGGTACTCAAATATGCAGCCAATAATAAATGGA